AAGTCACGTCCTCACACACAATAGGCGCTTGTCGCTTAAAGCTTCACAGCGTAGACACGCCTGGGGTATTTGCGGGCCATGCGCAGCTGGCGGCGCGTCTTGCGGTTCTTCTCATTGTCCTTCAGCGCGAGGCGGCGGCGGTGGGTCAGCTTCGCGCGGAGGGCCTTTGGCTTGCTCGCACGCAGCTTCTTCTCCGAGTAGAACTTGCGCAGGTTGTCGCGCTCGTTCTGGTTCAGCACGGTGAGGATGCGGGCAATGCTCTTGCGGATCAGACGAATGCGGCCAAGGCGGGTGCCGGCGCTGTTGAGCTGCTGCGCCACGCGAAGCTGCGAGAGCTCCTTCTTGAACTCCATGAGCTGCTTCATCAGCTCATCCTTGTTCTTCTCGCGCAGATCGCGGATCTTGACGTGGTGCGACATCGCCGAAGAATGTACCTTGACTCTCGCAAAGACCTTCAGAGAATGAGAGAAACGAAAGCACAAGCTTTTGTTTTTTTTGTTTTAACAGGTAAGGCAACAACGTCGCCCCTGCACCACAGCAGGCTCGCCAGAAGAAGACATTAACTTCTCCCGGTTCATGGGGGCATCGGTTTAGAACTTCATACATGTATTCATGCATATATACATACATACACACACACATCTACATATATATACACACACTTTGGATTTTGTTTGAATTGCTTATTTTTTTTTTTTTTACATCGGCTGCTCACCGCCGGAAAAAAAAAAGCAGCTTGTCGGTCGCCCCGCACAACGGCATATACGTAATATATATGTGTATATACGCATGCCACAGCGGTGGACCGCCCTTACAGGTACGTGATGCCAGGCGTGGTGTCTACGGATTTGACGCAGTCTGACTGGGCGGCGCAGCAGGTGCTGCCGGGCAGCGCCACCAGCCCCAGCACCGCCTCGTCCCCCAATCTTTTTGTAGCTCGTGAAACTCAAGCGAAAGAACTGGTCGCGAGAGGTGTCGTACGTGGCGAGCCCGATTTTTTCAACTGCCTTATTTCGCTCAGTCGCGGCGCCGCGCAAAGACGCGATCTCGTCGTCGCGCTCCTTTTCCTGCTCCTTCCGGAAGCTGGCAAGCTCCTCACGCTGCGCGTCGTCTAACAGGGCGAGGGGGTCCTCCTCCTCCTCCTGCTCCTCCTCCTCCTCCTCCTCCTCCTCCTCGGCGCCCGGCGCCTCGTCCCCGTCCTCCTCCTCCTCGTCTTCCTCCTCCTCATCGTTTTCCTCCTCGGCGCGATTGGCGGCCTTCGCCGCTCGCGCAGCGGCACGCGCGGCCGCGCGTTCCTTTCGCTCCTCTGCCCTCTTTGCGGCCCGCGCCTTCTTTGCAGCGCGCAGCAATTCCCGCTGCTTCTGCTGAATCGCCTTTCGGCACCGCTTCTTAATGGCGCGTACCGCCAACCGCAGTGTCAGGCGTGTCTCACGGGTGTCGGCCCGCAACTTCGCCTCATTGCGTGAAAGAAACAGCAGCACAGAGCGTGACAGCGCACGCACATTCATGCCTAACACATACCCGTCGGAGGCGCCGATGTAGCAGTAAGGCGCCTCGTTGCTTGTGGCGGCCACAACGTGAGGCACCTCTGGAATTTCAATCGTTCCTACAGGCCGCAGTTGCCGAATCGGTGGCTCAGGGCGCGTCTTCATGGCAGACTTCACCGCCTTTGCGGCCTGCACCGCAGCATAGTACTGATCGGTGGCTAGGCTCCCTGCGGCCTCAATACCCGCGTCAGGGTCGGCCAGTGCGGGGCCCTGCGCCTCTCCCGAGGCCTCCCCGCCATCGGCTTCCGCGGAGGGGGGACGCTCCGCCGCCGCCGCCGTGGGGTTCACCGGCTCCGTGAAGGAGACGGTTGCGTGGCGATTTGCGTCGGCCGCGACGGGGGCGGCGTCCTCTTCGTCCTCCTCGCCGAATTCCGGCAGCCGCCAGATCTTCACCGTGAGATCGCGCCCGAACGAGAGGAGCAATTCTCCCCCCGCAATAAGACGCAGACATTTGATGTGATTCTGATGACCCGTAAGTAGTCGAATAGTTTTTCCCAGCTTTATGTCCCAGACGCGGATTTGATTGTCGTAGCCGCCCGTGATAATGTTCTGCGAGTCCTCGCCGACAACGGCCATGCAAGAGAGGGCGTCGTTGTGCCCCGGCCACGAGGCTCGCCGCGGCCCGTCAATGAGGTGTAGGCAGCCGTCATCGCCGCCCGTGTAAATCGTGCCCTCATGCATGCGGAGGCACCGCAGCGGGGTGGCCACCTTTGACGCCTTTAAGCACCGCTTCGCCTCCTCCTGCTCTGGGTCGGTGGACCACTGGCGAACCGTGCCGTCCATGGCGCAGGTGAAGGCCTCCTCCGGGGAGGCGGCGAAGATGGCTGTGACGGCCTTGGTGTGGCCGTAGAGCGTCAGCAACGGTTTGCCGAAGTAGGCAGCGTCGGTGGAGGCATAAAACTCAATGGAGCCGTCCTCCCGGCCAACAAGCAGGGGCGCCGGGGACTCCTCCTCCACGAGGCACATCGACGTTATGGTGCGACCCGCCATTGTGGACGGCAGGGAAGGAACTCTAAGTGCCCCTGGGGGTGGGGGGTAGGCGGGCGGCGGGGAAAATGGATGTATTTTTTCTTCTTCTTCTTCTTCTTCTTCTTCTCTTGCTTTGCTTTTCTTGCTTTTGCCTTCGCGTGGCCTCTGTTTCCCTCCGTCCCTGCCGCTTTCCCCTCCCTTCTGCAACTCGCGGGTCGCCTCCTCTTCCTCCCCTCAGTGGCTCCCTGTTCCCTGCACCGCGAGTGAGCCCCGTGGGGGAGCACACACACAAAAAAAGAAGGAGGGAAAGAGGCCAGAAAACGAAAAGGGGCATGAAGCGGCGCGACGCCACAGCCGCACCGGCGCGCGCCAGCGTGCGGGTACACAACAAAATGGGGGGAAACAACAAATAAACCAAAAAAAACCTGGGTGAATGGGGAGCAGAGTGGAAAACAGCGTTGTTTTCCACCCACGCTGACTGAAAGGGGTGCACAGAGGTAGACAAATATTCTAGAGGTGAAACTAGGGACGTAGTCGCCCTGATCCAATCCCATGAGAGGACACGCGCACACGCATAGAGGGATACGCAGATGTAGCAATCAAACCCACAGGGCCCACCCGACCCCCCGCAAAAGTAACAAACAAAAAGGCAACGCCCATCTTCTAGCTTCCCTTTCTCTCTCTCTTTCTTTCTTTCTATGTACAGACGGATAAACATATACAAACATACGTACAAATATATATATATATATATATATATATGTAT